GGGCATGTGGCATTGATCTGTTTCCTTTGGAAAAAATGTAACAAACAGAAGTTCCTGGAAGTTGCTAGAAAGAGCAACAGAATCTCTTAAGATTTAATTGAGGAGCCGGTCACGGTGGCACACGCCTGTAATCCCAGTACTCTGGTAGGCAGAGGCAGGAGGATCTCTGTGAGTTCGAGGCCAGCCTTGTCTACAAAGTGAGTCCAGGACAGACAAGGCTACACATAAAAACTGTCTCGAAAAACAAAAACAAAACAAAACAAAACAACCCAACAGATTTAACTGGGGGAAATTTACTTATTTATAATGTATCTAAACAAAAACTCAAGAACTGTTCTTTATAATCTCTCTACTTTCTCCCTGTTCTTTCTGAAACCATAAGCCAATTTGACATATTAACCCTAGAGAATTTGTGATTCTGCTGTTACTTCAGCGAAGTACTTCAATACTCTTTAATTTTAGTATAATAGTTCTTACCATATCACGATTTTCACTGTTAGCAAACCCTAAATTAAGCAACTAACATTGCCCCTTACTAACTAATAAGAAGAAGCAAAGACCCGCCTGGCAGTTACATATGGATGAGTTCAGTTCTCAAGTTCACTGGCAGTTTCTGTGGATCTCTGCTCACCGTCATGAGCCTTTAAGGATGGATGACCACACTGTTCTGGTCAGCACCTCCACCTCTTAAAATCATTAGCATACAGAAAGTATGGCAGTATGACAAACTCCAGAGCAGTCGCATTCATTATTTCTTAAAAGGCATATGATGTTGAGCATATTAATTAACATTTGAGTATTTTTTTATTATTGATGAAAATGAAGGCAACTGTCTATGAGATTTTCTCTGATTTTGTTTTTGTTTGTTTTTCTGTTTGTTTGTTTTTTGGAGCAGTGTTTCTCTGTGTAGCCCTGGCTGTCCTGGAACTTGCTCTGTAGGTCAGGCTGGTCTCACACTCACAGATCTACCTGTCTGTGCTTCCTGAGTGCTGGGATTAAAGGTGTGTGCCACTGTGGCCTAGCTTGACATTTTTTTTTTTAAAACTAAGATATTTATGTTTATTATAATACAGATTTCTGCCAAGGCAGAAATACCTGTCTACATGGTTAACGTTCTGTGTGTGTTTCCTGGGTGCTTATCTTCTAATATAATGCTCTTTTCACCTCCACGGGCAACTGTAATTTACAAAATCTGTTACCCTTAAATCCTCTTCATTTAACTTCATATAATACTTCTTTGGACATAAAAATTAGAAAAACAAACTATGTAAAAATGTTAGGATACTGAATTGTTAATAACATACTGTTTACCTGGGTTAGCAAACCTGCTTAATTTCAAATAGTCTAGACAATTATACTAATAAAAATTATGGTAGGCTGCCCAACCATTTACTCTACCAATTGCTTTTCACAGTGTAGTTTATATTAATCCAAAAATTTGAACATGTTTGTATGAGTGAACAACAAAACCAATGTATGTTTGAAATACCATAAGAAAACTATTCCTTTGTGTGCTAATTTTTCTTTTCCTTTCTTTCATTTTTTTGTTTGTTTGTTTGGTTTGGTTTTGGTGAGACAGGGTTTCTCTGTGTAGCTTCAGCTGCCCTGGACTTGATTTGTAGTCCAGGCTGGCCTTAAACTCCAGAGATACCCCTGCCTCAGCCTCTCCCAGTGCTGGAATTACACATGAGTACAACTGTACCCAGCTTTGTGTGCTAACTTCAAAGCTTAGAAACCTGTCGTGATTGTGCTTCTATGTCATATCAATATTTCTAAATCCTGAGAAGACACTACATATGAAAGTCTTAATAAACCATGTGTAAAGTAATACTTGTTTACTTTGGAATGACAATTTGGTATGTATTTTCAGTTTTAAATCCTCGCCTTTCTAGGGTGTGAGAACCTGATCTCCTTTATTCACAGTCTTCTAGCCACTGGGGACATCTACCCCAGCCACTGGGGACATCTACCCCAGC